TGATCTCCCAGTTTATTTTTATTTTTGTGTAATTATGCATTTAAGAATAACACAGAGATACCCTATGTGCCCTTCCCTCAGTTTTCCCTATGGTTTCATAGCATGTAGTAATATTTCCGTATGAAAACCAAGACTTTATAGGATTTCTGATTAGTTTTAAGGCAAGCTTGAATATCCGATGAATTCGGCACTGTATCTGTTATAAAGAATGCACTTGTCAGAAAAGCAGGATCTTTGTTGTGAGAAAAACAAAAGTTTATTCCATTGAACAAGGACTAGAATCAGGACTAAAGCAGCTAGCAGGGAATGATTTAATCCAAAAGTGGATGGGCTAACACTGTGAGAGAGAGACAGCTAGCAGGGAGGGAAGACTATACTTACATAGATTTGGGGGAAGGGGCTATAATTATAAGGAATTTTTGTGACTTGGATACCCAAGGACAGTCTTCTTAGGTGGGTTTACAGTTACTGGACTTCTAGGCACCAAATTTTGAGTCCATTTGCCCTATTTACTGGAGAAACGGCAAAATTTCTGTTCACTTGATACAGCTCATTGCTACTAGTCTGGAAGGATGGAAAGCACACCAGGAGCCATGGAGATAAAGTGAAAGTAAAGTTTTATTTAATGCTAGAGGACCAGTCTGCGTTCGCATGCAGGAGACTGGCCCAGTCCAGCACTTGGCAAAGTAGGATATACTCTTTGGGAGGGGTGCGGTTACAGATAAGGCATGCCTGACATGCACTTACTGGTTACAGAGTTTGAATTTTTGTAAGCAGGTGGGCTCAGGCATGGTATTGGCTCACACATGATGCTGGCAATATGCTTATAGGGTAATTTAGGATATGAGGCTTAAATCGCATTTGCATTCTGGTGAGATGACAAAACTCTTCTAGAGACAAAGACGTTCCTGAATTTAGACATATGTGAAGCAGGACAGACCCAGACATGTTGAGCAAAGAAAATTTCAAGTAGAGAATTTCCCCATAGTAAGTCCAGCTTGAACCACAGAGACAAAATTCCCCTTTCACTGAGAAGCTGCTGCTGTTGGCTAAAAGCAGCTTATTTGCTCTTTTCTGTTCGTTTAGGACAGGCCTGCCAATATCAAAAGAAATCAAAGTATCATATACTGGACTGGGGATTTAGCTCAGTGGTTCCACCGCCTGCCTTGCAGGTGTGAGGTCCTGAGTTTGATCCCCGGTACCAAAAAAAAAGAGTCATTTACTCACTAAGCCAGGACAGGTTTCTTTTCCTGTCCTCGCACAAGGAGCACCATTGTTGGTGCAAAGAAAAGACCTGGGGCAAAGTCCCTGGAAAAGAAAACCCTACAAGAAAAGAGGAGTCCTCTCATTTCCTGTTAGGACTGATTAACCTCAAGAAATTTACTCAGAATAAGTTATAGAAAAAAAGCTCATATTTTCATATTGTATAATATGAATAATTGCCGATTGTCTCCAAGATATGTTGTTGATATTTTTTGGATGGTATCACATACTTGCTCTTAAAATTTACCTTAACAGTTTTCAGTGGCTCTGACTTACTGGAGCTCTTATTTAGTCTCAATGTCCTTATTTCTGTCCCAAGTTAGAAACTGTCATATTTTCTGCAAGAACAATAAATATGCAGAATGAGCTATCTTGTGTGAATTGATTCACTGAATTCAATTACAATTCCTCAGATGGGATTTCAATGATCACAAAGCTAATTTATGTTTCAATGTGTTTTTTGCAAAATAGAATTCTTTAAAAAAATACACACTTTTTCTGCCTCACAAGCACAAGGTCCCGAGTTCAATCTCTGATGCACGCTCACACACACACAAACACATTTTGTGTAACCTAAAAATTTTCTCTTTTTTATGCTTGCTTAGGGCAGTATTCATTTGTAATAAGGATTTGTTATATGTTTAAATGGTTTAGTCTACTTACCCTATATTGTAAATGTTCTTAGAGAAGTATAGGTAATAAGCACTGTTACCCCCAAATGTGATAGATAAACAAAGTGTTTTATTTTTTTCCTTAAATTAAGTGTAGACTCAAGCTCTTTTTGTTAAGAATTTCAGGCCCTCAGTTCAGACAGTCTCCAACGGTGATTTTTTTGTCTTCATGTTCTGGTTACATAGTGGTACTTTATTCATACTGTTTCAATTTTTCAATATGTGGCATTAGAACAATGGGAATGAACTCTATTTCCAAAATTCTCTGCTTCTTTCTTTCTGACCTTGTGTCTCTTGATCCATATAATCCTTTGGTGCTTAGGTTGAAAACAATTTTATTTTAATCTGTCCCTGTGTCCTACTTAGAGCATAATCTTTTTGTGGAGAGTGAGCCATAGTGTGGTCCATCTTTATGATGAAAGTTAGCCTACATTTTGGAATCATTGTCCCTCTTACTTTCAACGTGGGAGGTTAAAGGCGGAAACTAAACACAGTTATGTATAAGAGTAATAATGTTTGACATATTATATTTTTATTTTATTGAAGCTGGGGTGACCCAGGTTGACTGTATTAAATCAGATCTAAAAGTTCCAAATCAGTTTGGCCAGCATGCTACAAATAATTTGAGAACAATCAATGGTACTAGCCCATCTATTGGATGGTCGTTTTAGTTCTTGTTTTAATTGGCTGATCCAGTCGTACATGGTGTATGAATAATTTAGTTCCTATATCATACTATCATTGAGTTACTATTTACAAATACTTATTTTTACCAGCAATGTTAAAGCGTTTATTAATTTTATTAGTTTTACTTATGATGATGACTAACTACCAATTTTTATTTACTTCTGTGGGTGTTGGATTGATCTTTTGTCCTGTCTTTAGATTAGGTAGATTTAGATATTTTTCTTTTTATGAGCACAAAATTCTGATTGACAAAACAATAGCTTCTAATGCTTATTAAGAGCTATAGTAAATTATTGGATTGGTACTATAAATCAGTATCCTTTATCTGAAAGTTCTGTGGTCAGAAGTGTTTCAGATTTTGAAATTTTTTTCAGATTTTAGATCTTTCTATGTACATGAGATATCTGGGAATGAAACTTAAGTCCAAACACAAAATTCACTTATACCTGAATTATAGTTACAGCCTGAAGGTAATATGATACAGTATTTTAATTCTGTGCATGCTGGGAAATTTTTCACTTGTAGTGTCATATCAGTATTTCAAATTTGGATTTTGGAAGATTTCAGATTTTGGATTTTTGCATTAGGGATTCTCAGTCTGTGTTATTGTGTTCAGATGGGGTCACAGAAACTTAGAAAGGTTGAGGACTTTGTTGCAGTTTGTATAAGCAGCAAGAGCAGAAGAACTTTCAAAACCAGGTATATCCGAGGCCAAAATGAATTTTAGTCTCCATACTGTTTTGCCTTTGGTTGCTTTCTGGAGCTTGGCTTCAGCTTTCTCTCATGTTCCTCACTATCTGCAATTGTGAGGCAGATTTTAGGACTCTGCTTACCTATACTAAGCACTCATATTAAGATATCTGTTTGTGGTAGTATATCTATGAACACCTTGTTCTAGAAATAAAAAGAGGGGCCCAGCTATGTAGCTTGACTGTTGAATTCTATATCTGTGCACTTTGACAAAGGGTACATTTGCTACAGGACAGATTTTATTCAGAAAATTTATCACTGATACAGTAACCCAAGATTGCATTACCAGTGCAAATATTTTGGTACAAAAAGGTGGCAAACCTGCATAAACTCTGGAGTAACTTCCTGTGGTGATGTGAATGTTTATAGTAACATCAAAGGAGAAAGATGTGAGTTGAGTTGGTGCCAGTTGTGGTGCGGCAAAATACCAGAAGGTAGATTAAACTGTGTTTAGTTATAGTATGTGACAGTAAGAATTTTAATGTCACCATCTTTGACCCTGATGTTACTCCTATGGATATGTTATGCTTCATGGCAAAAGGATTTTACAGCTATATGGCAAGTTACAAACAGATGACTTTAAAATAGGGAGATTAGCCTGGTTTATTGAATAGGGTATAATCTGTACCACTAGAGACTAGAAGTTAACATGTTTCTCCTGCTGGGTAGGTTAGTGGAGGAGCCAGAGATTTTAAGTATGAAGGTTTGGTGTAGTCTTGACCTGGAGAGGACCACATGTTAAGAAAACAGGGACTTCAGTCCTACAGCCACAAGAAGCCAGATTCTACCCACCACCTGAATAAGCTTGGAAGCAGAATCTTTCCTGGGGCCTTTGGACAGGAGCCCAGCTAACACCTTGATCTTGACTCATGAGGCCCTAAGCAATGGTTTAGGTAGTGACACGGTGTCTGAGTTCTGCCTCATGGAATTGTAAAACAATAAACAGGTCTGATTTTAGCAGCTTGTGGTTGTTTGTCACGGCAGAAATGAAAAACTAGTTAAGTATATAATTGATCAGTTCTTTTTCATATGACCCCTGTATGAATTTTCAAGAGAAAATTATTTATTCTGGGTAGTGCATAATACATTGTTATAGCAGTTGATTAGATGTTTGTGGATGGGTAGATGCAAAAGGGTATAATTTCATTGCCAACTGTGTTGCAAAAATCAGTCTTCTCACCACAAATTCAATCTGTTTTAGGACTGTCTAGTTAACTCTGGTTTAAATTTGGGAGAACACACATCCTGTATGTTCAGGAATGCACAATCTAATCTATTGAAAACGCCAGAGTATTAGATTGTTTTATTTTTCAAGTCTCACCACTGAGTCAATAGCATCTATCAATAATTACAACAAAACATTTATTTTGCAAGGTAGTGATGGTGAATTGCTAAAATAAGGTGTGATAAGAGGTAGCTGGTAAGTCTAGAGTCAGTGGATACATGCTTTATTACATAAAATATAAACCATTTCATGGTGTTATAAATAACTGGCTCTAAGGGAAATCAGTAAAAAATATTTGTGATAAAAAGTAGGCATGGAGTTCAACATTGAATACGGATTTGGAATTTGAAAAATCATGTTAGAAATGTAGAGATTTCTATTTTCCCTTTCCCTTTGTGTTACAGATTAATCTTGAAGGAATTGGTGAAATCTATAAGATACGCATCGGCCATGACAACAGCGGGAAGAACCCCAAATGGTACCTGGATGAAGTTAGATTTGAAAATATGGCCACATTTGAGCTGTTTTGTTTAACTGTTGATTCCTGGATAGCTGAGGATGAAAATGATGGTGATATATGGAAAGAAATGCCCATTGTGACCACTAATAAAGTGCCACTACCAGGTATGTAATTTCATTTTCTTTGTGATATATTTTCAAAATAAAGTAGCTGAGTGATTCAAAACAGGGAATAGTACCTTTTTCTTCCACACAGGGTTAGAAACTAAGTATCTTATAGGCCATAACGTTTCTGTCTAAACTGTTCACCTTTGCTAGGCAGTGAGACAGCAACTGCAGACTATATATAAGCATGAGGCATAACAATGTGCCAATTAAATTCTATTTTGTGGACACTGAAATTATAATTTCATGCAATTTTCATTTCTTATAGACAATATCCTATATTTGTTTTTTTAAGTCAATAAGAAGCATAAAAATCCTTCTTAGCTCCTGGACTGCACAAAAATAGGTGTTGGGCAGATTCAACTCTGAAGTGGTATGTAGTTTGCCCACCTCTGCTTTAGAGTCATAGGCTTTATTTCTGTTCAAGATGAAAAAGTATATGCAAGGATGTATATGTGTGGCCAACTTTTTATAAGCTGCTTTGTTACCATTTAAATGTGACTTTCTTCTTGGCTGTTCTGTTAATAAATGTCAGCAATCATGGACTTAGGAGAACATGAATTCCCTCACTGAATATTTTTTGTTGTTGCCTCGGAGCAAATTTGCATATTGCCTTAATTTTTTTTCTCTTTCCATTTCCCATTTCCATTTTTTTTCCTTTGCAGTCTTTGCTTAGTAGCTCACAAGAGCTTTGAGCTCACCACATCACAAATTGAAGACACCTTCATTGGTCCTGCAATCATATTGGGGTTCTTCAAATTTACTTGGAGAATTTGAATTTTCTCTACCACCTTCATGCTGGTTAGCCACCAGGCACTCTAACCATCTGTCTTCTCAATTTTTGTTAGAATGATAGCTGGCACAGAGCCTGTGGTTGGCTGTGTGTCTGAAAAAATAAATGCTACTTAATTTAGATATAGCAAGAATGATTTGGGATAAGACCAGCTTAATGATATGAGAAGTCCATAATACTAGTTCTTTATATTTGCATATACTTTGATAGTTTACAAAAACATTTTGTTGTGTTCAATCTCATTTAAAAAACAAGGCTCCAGATCCCACTGGTTCTAGCTGCCCTATAGGCACAAATTCATCTAATAATGTCCAAAAGATTCTGAGGCAAAGATATGAGAGGGTCCTAATAAATTGAGGGTCCTGATTTTACCCTGCACATCCTGGGACCTATCTAGTTTTCTCAACCAATTGCTAATACCTGTGAAGAAATTCACTCTGCTTTTTTAAAAAAACACATTATTTAGGAGAATTTTAAAGTCCACAATACCAGTAAGAAACAGAGGAGCTCTGGTTGGGCTGCTATATTACTTCTCAATTTGTAGCATTTTAAAGGGCTTCATTATTTTAAAATGAACTTTAAGCTCTACTAAACAACTATTTTATATTTCTTCCAATTGCCTCTTATTTGGCATATGGCTAATTTGTTACATACCAAAGAATTAAAGAAGGGAGCTGTATTCAGTGTTTTGTTTTTGGTACCAGTGATCAAACTTGGGACCTTGCACTTGTGAAGCAGGTGGCAGAACCACTGAGCTAAATCCCCGGCCCTGTTATATTAGCTTTTCTTTTTTTAATCTGAGAAACAAAGGAAACTGCACTCTACTTTAAATGAATTATTGATTTTGGACTCATTTAACTTGAGCAGCAATAAAGGCTCAGCGTGTCTCCCTGCATCTTTCTGTTCATGCTTTCCTCAAAGTAGCTAATGAAACTTCATCCATTAGCATTTCCCATTCCAAGGAATAATTTCTTAGTGGAAACATACCTACCAGCTTTTCAAACATATTTTTTCCAACAAAATAATATAATAATGATGCATAGAGCTAATTTGATGCAATCTTTTCATTTTTCTCAGTCTCTGACAAAGCCATCCAGCACCCTCTTTTCCAAGTGGAGTATTTGCTCATTTACAAGAAGACCATTAAAATAAGAAAATAAAAAAAATGACACCTCAATATTTAGGAATTAATTAGAGACCAAAACTTACTGGTGAATGAGGAGCAAACTGAATATATTAATCTTAACATATTGAGTGCCATCTTGTGGAAAATCATTCTTGGTATCACAAAAATCTTTCTTTTACAATGCTATATGACTCAAGTGATGCCACGGCAGAGTCAAACCACTGAACCAATACTTTTTTTGTATGAGTTTGAGAAGAGGAGTTAGAGAGTTTGGCTGTCAATATTTTGCAATTGTCCATCTGTCAAAGCTTCTGAAGCTGGCCCAGGGTAAAACACTAAGAATGATGATGAGGAGGAATTTTAAAAAATCACCAACAACTAAGCTATTGATACTTGTCTTGGTGTTGCCCAGGTGAATAGAATCCTAAGAACCCCATTTGAGGGCTATATTTTTTTAATTTAGCCACATAAAAAGGTTTATCATCAGTTGGCGCTTTGAGCCAAATAATTTTGTTACTTTGCCTCCTTTCTTCAAAAGATTACTGGAATGCTTTCAAAAGAAAAGGGTATTTGACACCATTTGTCCAAAAATCATCCTTCTTTGGGAGCTGAGCTAGGTTGCCAGTGGGATCAGAGCAATCTCCTCCTGAGGCCAGTCCTGCCAAGTTGAGCTCAGTGAGTACTTTTTTCTGATTTATTCACTGTTTGCCGCGTTGGCAGGGAAAGGCACCATGGAGCGGCTGATGCCCTTGCTTTGTTGTCCTTAAGAATCTTTAGTTAATGGCCTGGCAGGGGTGCCCAGGCCTGATAAGAATGCCAACTCAGCCCTTACAGGCCTCTTCACAAATCCTGGCTACTGACTCTGCGGGAGAGATGGATGACAATAGCAGGTGAGGTTTGAGGCCACATCTGTGGTTAAAGAAATGTTTGATGCCAAACTTTGGTGAGTGGGCACGAGGTGTGCTTAGTTGTTTATTTCAATTTAAGAAATGCTTCCCTGAGAATACATGAAAAATTCACCATAAATTAAATATCTGCTTCAAAATATTTGCATTTAAGCACAGAAAAACATCTTTGTGAAACACTTACTGACAATCTACTGCAAATTTTAGTTGATAAAAACCAATCTAAGTTTTTTTATAAAAGGAAGAAGGAAAGGCAGCAGCGTTATGTTTATGCTTTTGCCTTTATCAAAATACCCATCCTTGTCTGAATGGCACATAGGGGCTTCCGAGTGGACAGAGTTTTCATCCACAAGACAACTGTAGTTCAGATTAGCATACTTTGGCTTCAAATCCTGGTCTGCATCCCCCCCAAAAAAAAGTGACTTGGGGCAAGTGAGAGAGGAAATTGGGGTATGTTGTATGTATTACTCAAGTGATCACCAGGAAATTTGCCAGAAAAATCAGGACTTTTATGAGGGAGAAGAAGGGCTTTGTGAATAATTGTGCCAGGAAAACAAGTGTGCATTGGGACCTTTTCAGGGAAACCTGAGTCACAGTCATTCCATGGGGCTTCCATGGGAGCACCAGAGAGCCTGTGAACAAGGTGTGTGCTTCACTGGAAGCACTTGATGCACACCTAATGAATTCCTTTGTTCTCTGCTCTTAACCTGTCTTTCCTCTCCCCCCTTCCTCCATTGTGTTTAACTACTATGATGAGAATTCCAGGATTAGAAAGAACAATTTTGGATTAATCCAGGATATTCTCAAGCTCATAGCCAGAATGATCAGCTTAAAATGCCAATCAGACTGCCATTCCTTTGCTTACCAACCTTCCAAAAGTTTCATGACACGAGACTGAGAGTGACAGCGAGTCCTCCTGATGTTCCACCAGTCTCTACTCGGTCTCCACCTGGTCTCCGCTCCAACCTCAGAGCTCCCTGATAGTCTCTGCATGTCATCCCCACAACCCTAAGGCCTCTGGCACTTTGTCCCACCTAGCCTACCACAGACCTTGGGATGGATCATCCCTTCACCTGTGACTGGGTCTCTGACCAAGGGAACTTTCTAGTTCTGCCATATGGGTAACCTTCTAGAAAATAGCAAATAATTCTACTCCCTTACCCACCCTGACCCTCTTTTTCTTTCTATAGCTCATCGATAACTTCTTTTTGAGCAATAAGGTAAATACTTCCATAAAGAGGCACATGTAGATTCAGTCCCAAACCACGACCAGATAATAGTCTTGGATCACTAAACTTCAATACTGAATAGAATCGAAATGTCTACACGTTTGACGCTGAATCTCATTTGCCATCTGTTTCAGAGCTCTGATTCTTTGGGCTGTTTATATCAACAGGATCACACCACATGAGTGTTGAGAAAGCTTAATTCTTAGAGACTTGAGAGAAAGCACTAAAACAGTCCATTAATTAAAATGGATGATTCTTACCAAGGATTTGTCTTCAGGAAGTACATTGGTGCTGCCTATAGAGCTACCTAGGTGCCAGTGCCCATCTGCCCCGCCACTCAGGTGCCTGTGGTGTCTGAAAACCTACTATGTGCACAGCAGCATAGCAAGTGCGTGTGCAGAGGGGCTGGCTCCCTTCAGGGAGGTGTGGCTTTACATGAGGAGTTTACAGGGCAAAGTCATTCAGTATCATCTAGGTGCATTTTGAGCATCATGAGTAAAAACAAAGGAGTACCGAAGTCCTCTAAACACAATTACATTTCTTTGTTCTTTTTAAAATTTTTTTGATTATGTTTATTGGTACATTCAAAGCAAACAATACAGTTACATTTATCACTGGGATTTTGTACCTTTGCATGATATACTTGATTCTTGTTTTTTCCCCATACCTGTCCTTCCTTTACCCCCTTTACCCTTCCCTATTTACAAAGACTTTGTTTCCACTTTTTCATTTTTTCACATTTTTCTTTTACCTTATTTCCTTTCCCCTCCCCTTTAGCCATTTTCATACTTTCAGTTAAACCATTTGAACCTTATTTACACTTTTATTTTTTCACACCCAGAAATTATTCGGTATTTACTGAAATGTGTACTATTTATTTTGCTTAAGAGTATGGCTTCAATGTTCATCCATTTAGCTATAAATGTTTCCAGTTTCTCATTCTTTATGGCTGAATAGTATTCCAGTCTATAGAAAAAGTTGCAGAGGGAGGAAGGAAAGGGGTATGGATATTCCCCCAAGCAATGAGTGCACTCCACTGAGGCCCCAATATCTTTGGGGTGGGGTGGGGTGGGGGATAAAAAAGTCTCAGTTATAATCTCACAATAGTGTCCTGATATAGTTGTTGGAATTATGATGAATAATGAAGTCTTTGGGAAGACTGAATTCTTGTTCTGAAAGGAAGAAAGCAAGGTTTTATTCTGATAAAATGACTCAACCCTTCCACTGGCTCTTTCACAGAAGGCCACCACGGCCGTGGGTAACAGGGACAGTCATTGTACTTGGCCACTCCAGGCTCTTTGGAGATTCTCTACTGTCTTATTTGATTTCTGATG